ACGATTTTTAATTTTTTTTAGCTACAATAAGAACAACTCATAAGGAACCTTGTATTAAATTTTTAAGTTTTTTTTGTCATCCAACATTTTTTTACCGACACTTCAAAACAAAAATTCTCATAAAATCGAAAATTTCAGTGGTCTATAAATAACTCAAAAAAAGTCAAAAATTTTTGAAAATTAAACTGTTTATAGATAACACTAACATAAACATTTGGTGAAAATTTCAAGTATTAGTATAAGATTAGTTTTTGAATTACAGCAACCATATAAAAAAATCGATTTGGTCGAAAACTGGTTTTGCGTAAAAATTCCCGTTTTTCTGTCATTTTTTTTTTTGTTTTTCTCGATTTTTTTGAAAACTGTTGGAAAATATTTACCTGTATGATGCACCAAGGATATTCACTTTTACATCAGAAAACATCCCAAAAGTTCGAAATTGAAGCATTATTTCGACTATAGTTATGCTGTACAGTGTACACAGACAAAAAAACAAAAAAAAAAAAATACACATCATTGTAAAATCAATACATTCATCACTTCGTTCAGAATCTAAAACCCAGGTCGTAGCCTCGTGCCCCGGGGTTCCAACTATACATAAATTAAGTATACATCATTTACAATTTATATATCCACGTTCAGTAGTGTACTCAAATTTTTAGAAAGGGAGAACACCCTCATCCCCCTTGTGAACACGCCCCTGTCCACATAACGTATAAGCAAACGGAGAAAGAAGTTGAATTATAACACTCGTCGACTTCCGCAGAAATATAAGCCGGGAGGGAGGCAAAGTCAAAAATCTATGATAACACAACACATAATATTTACCCTCYCCTCCTTGGTGCCAATTCAAACACTATTATACACATGCGGCATGTCATACATCAATAATCTATAAGTACCTGGCTACTATACCTACATACCTATACCTATATATAGTATATATCTAAATCTATAGTAAAATATTAACAGGTTATTACAACGCCAGTGGTGGTCAAATGATTTTGTGAGGGGGGGGATGTAACTGATTTTATAACAAACACTATTTATAAAAATCTTTATTCTAAAACATGAAAATTATATTATATTAATAATATTTATATTATTAAATCTATTTTTCTGTTTTTTTTTTTGCCAATTCGCCCAGTACTTCATCTGCAGTTATATTGACAACCCCACGATGAACAGCCATAGTGGCTAAACCATTGAGGCGACTCTAAAATAATATAATTGCATAATTCATATAATAATATGGTATATTATGTTAAGCATTAAGTACTAAATTTACATTTCATAAATTCGTATAATTAAACTATAAATGAAATGAAAAAAACCTAAAAAGTTGGTTTCAATTAATATTTTAGTATTTTATGTTTGAACTGTTAATTAAATACTTATTCGGTATTCCAATAACCAAATAGGTACCAATATACAAATATTTTATTCCAGTCTAGAGGTTGTATAATAGTACAGCATATTTACCTCGACCATTGTATTTCTTAAATATGTTTTCAGCCGTTTAAGACATGAAAACATTCTTTCTGGTGTTGCCGTTGATACCGGAAGTGTACAAAAGATTTGACACAGTGTATAAAAATATACTAAATATATTCGTAAGAAATAAGGTCTACATCTACTGTAAAAATTTACTATAAATAGTTATTTATGTTTTTTTTTTTCTAATAGAAAATAGATGAATACCTATATTATATTATGTAGGTATAATATGCATGAAATATAAATAAATTAAAATATTTAATTATATAGGTAATTATTGTCGTATTATATTATTTTTAACAATTATACAAATATTAATTATTGTAATCAAAAATATTCACGTTTATATTTTGAAATAACATTAAGCCCTTATTTAGCATACATTTTTATATTTTAGAGATTTTTTATTTCCCCTCCTCATCTAAAATGTTCTACCTATGTGTTCCCATGTGACGGTATAATATAATTACRTTTCAATCACACGACTTTGCGTCGTTTGAAAACGAATAGAAATCGCGGCTGTATATTATTATTATGACATAAGCACTCGTATAGTTGTATATGTATAATAATAATTAATTACAAAAAAAAATAATTATCTGTAATTTTTCTTCTCCCTTGTTATTGCCATTATTGTTGTTGTTGTTTATGGTTTAGTTACGGATGATAAAAAATCAATCGTACACAAAATTATATATATATATAGGTACATACATAATATTATGTACTGCACGGTGACATTGTATTATAATATGCGATCTCGACGTGCATATTATACATATTAGCTATATATATTTATATATACGTACGCGTGGGTGGTGGGTACGTTGGCATAAAAGGCATTGTGTGCACCAGTCGTGTCGTGTGCGTGCGCGTTTGCGTAAACCCAGTCCCTGCGGACTTTGCTGGGCCGACGAGGGGGGAATCGCGCGAGGGTGTAAAAACAAAATTGAATACGGGCGCGATACAGTGCAAAAATATATATTACGTGTACAAACGTGGATAATATAACAGCTTGGCAGTTAAGCCTGCGCGTGTACAGAGTACGGTTTTAAATGAATATTTATGGTCCGTCAGACCGACCACCCGTCCGCCTGCCCAGCGAAACTATTAAATCCATCGTACCTACCTATAACATCATATGTACATACACATATATATTATATACTTATATATATATCAAAAGTCTTTTATGCACGATCAAACATATCGTATACTGCACTCTTGTAGTGATCTTCAGCGGAGACATCATCGGTAAATCTGCAGTGTTCGAGTYGTATATAATACGTATATAGACCAATTAAATTATTGATGGTAAAAACTTCAAAAGGAAAATTTATAATATTATTGCCACCACTCGTAACCATAATCTTGTTCGAAAACGAGATTTCATCAACATACAAATCCATTTTTGTGGTTTTATAAGTGTTTTTTACTCGTATCCCACAATTTTTTTAAACTTTTACCACCTCATTTTYCTATTTTTCCTCAATTCGAACGACATATTGCAATATCCAGTGATAGATGAATTTGTAATTTGTAAGGTATATTGAATAGCGGCAAACGTTGTAAGCCTCACTATACCTATATGTCCTATATACATAAAAAATATAATGTGAACATGGAAGCCACATCGAAATATTATTATCGTTATTATCGTATAGTTGCTATCAAGTAGAATGTTTTGTTAGTATCGCATTTTAAAACGTTTCAAGATAAATGATTCATAACTAAACAAAATGTATATACTCCATATATGGTTTAATTAAAATAATACTTTGAAAATGSAATTTT